AAAGTAGCCGATTCCATTCCACAATTGGATTCCGAACTGATAATCGATCATCATTTTTGGTATGTTATTTCATTAAAAAAGATATTTTTTTCAAAGTCCCGGACTTTGTCTATGGAGGTTCGCAGGGCTGTGGTGGGGACATCTATCAACCGAACGCGTCCCTGTACACACAGCACTGTACGCAGGGCTAATATAATACATGCAATGGTGTACTACTGTGAATAATACTTTAAGAAGATATTCAAAACTGTAAATCAGTTCTCTATTAATTTCCCGTCCTGTATTCTTACGAATTTGTAATATTATATTATGTAAAATTCTATTTCCGTGTTATTTAAACAATTTAAAAAAAAACAACCTGATGGTCATTGTACAGGCACGACATAATGCATTCACCGTTCGGCCCAAAAAAAGTATGATGTCATCGCTACAACTATTCTTTTTTGGTTGAGGACACGATCTTTGTTGTGAACAGCTGGGTATCAATCGCGAGCCAATCAGGAACCTCGAAAAAACCCATGTGTGTTAGACGAAACCATTATTCGACAATTTAATTCAGAATAGCTTTTCACAAACGGGACTAATTTGAATACGAATTGATAGTGTAGGCCATGTTTTTAAAGGTTTTAAATATATATATAATGTCATTGTAAGGCGGTGAATTGGTGAACATACCGTATACTTTCGAAAGATATATTGTGTTTACAGAACGATAGAGGACATTTTGCCCCCATTAAAATGGTCGATTCCAATCAAGGTGCATTCCGTCATTCTTCACATTCTTGCCTGGTGAACTTGCTTGAATTCTGAACAGGAACTGAATTTAGGTGATTTCGAGGTAGAAGTTCCACTGGATCGGTACAAGTGATTGCGAAGTCATCTGGCATAGCGTTAGAAGGTAGGTTCCGCTATGATTTAGCCGATTTTCCTCGTATGTGCGTAGCTGTAAACCGCCGTGTTTGCAACGATCAGCAAGAAGCAGCGCGACAAGAATCAACCACCTTGACTAGATCTCACCTTGTTATTTTTCAGAGAGCTCGATCAGGATGGAGACTCCGCTGGATGTTTTATCGCACGCAGCGGCCATGGTGCAGACCGACGAAGCAAATCGTGAGTTTACGGGTGTATTGTGGACGGTACTTTGTGTTCTAGGAGATTATTTGTGCGTCAGATGTTTGTGAACGAGCGACATGCCGTTCAATTCTACCTGTGTTATGTGTTTGCGTCGTGTTCTGTATGCAGCATACCAGACATGCTCGCATATTTCTGTTGTCGTCTATTCAGTTGGAATACGCATGAAACCCACATCTGTCTTTCCTTTACTTCGCTGACAACCCAGTGTTTAACCTTAAATAATTTCGCGAGGTGGGTATAGAGGGGAAGGGGCGGAACTAAAATGGGGACGATCGAACTATAAAAGACCTGCCGATCAGGTCAGCTGTGTAGTCGCGACCTCACTTGTTGATCTGTTTCGGGAGTACCATGGTAGTAGTACACAGTGCGGTTGCCGACCAATCTGTCGACACGTCTAATTCGCCCAGTAATAAAAAAACAATCCGGTCCATGTAAGACTATCAAGTTGTCACAATTTCTGTGTTATTTATAAAGCATGTTTAATGAGATCCAGACATCATGTTGTTGCGATTCTCGCTGTTGGCCTGGCAGCTGAAATGGAAACCCAATCCAGTGCTTCCCTCTCGATGCGTGAATAGAGAAGTTGCTACTTGGAATATTTCCCTTCGCAAACCACGCATTGATAAAGACGTGTTTTATTGTGTGGGTGTGCGTGTTTCTGTTCAAAACATTATCTAGAGCAAACGTGCTATTAAAAGACGGTATAATGTTGTATAAACTTTCTAAATGTTAATAATATTGTCTGTCTTTTTTATTTTGTTAAAATATTTCAAGCCTGAGTAAGATAGGCGTGTTTAATAATACGTGACTGTTTTCATTCTATTGTAGACAAAAATTCCCAGTATTTCAAACTTTTTGTTTCTTTCAGTACATCACATTTTTGGAAATTGAAAACAACAAAAAAAACATCCACAGAATGTGAATTCAATGAAAGCGGTATAAAACTTCTCTAAAAGTGTTTGAAGAGTTGTCAGTTTTATTGGGATCTTGTATTTTTAATTCTGAATAGAATTTTACGATCTAATTTTATGTTCAGAATGAGTAGATAGCAGGGCTAATAATAACTCCATAGATTATGTACTTCAAAATCGTGATATTAATTTAAACATAGCATGTCTGGTATTTTAGATAATATCATTATGGGTTGGAAGGTATGTTCTGTATGTGGAATATTGCCATTATAAGAGTATCCCCAGGCCTGAGTGACAGAGGGACTGCTAAAGGAGACCTATTTAGTGCTCTTAAATATGTCCAGGCTGACTCTTGGCACTCCAGGAATGACAATTAAATGATCGTTTGTCTTAAGACATTTACTAAAGTAACAACATGACTTGACAGATGAGAAGAAACAGTTACTGTTCATATTGCTTTGCTCTTGGTAATGGCTATCATGAAGTGGAAAGTGGGTTTGCATTGTTATCTATTCCGGCACGAATATTAGTTTTTACTGAATTATTATCCCATTAAAATGTAAATAGCTATTTTTAGCAGCAAACTTTTTAATGTATTTTTTTGTAATGTATTTTATGTATGTGCATCTATTTAGTTATATGAAAGACAATTTTTTTTTTTGTTCAATATTTACGAGTTCAGTGCCTTTTGCGTGCGAAACTTTGCTGTCCTGAGCAAACATTTCTAGTGTCGAAAATGTAAAAATTTACAGTGCCATAATTTTTCCCGTCAAAATTTTAGTGTAACATTTTGCTGATGCATTTTCTACATTTCTTTGTTGACAATTTCTATTTAAATTATCATAATGTCCGAGGGCCTTGATCCAAATTTTGAAAAAAATATAAAAAAAATTAATTTTATTTTGATGAAAGATGACAAAAGTTGCTCAAAGGTTTAAATAAAACCTCAATTTGATGTCTTGCTGTTTAAAAAAAAAAAAATACAATATTTATATGAATAACTATTACCGGTAATTTAAAATCTACATTGTTAAGGAGAACCTTAAACTGAATTTACTTATAAAATAAATTAAAGTATAATAATATCAAACCGAGAACGAGACTTACCATCTAATTATTTCCATCTCCACAAGTAAATGATGATTACTGTTTTTTTTTTTTAATAAATAAAAATAATTAATCCAGGTCTATAAATCAACTCAATTGGTAAGAAAAATTTCAGATGCATAGAGGAAGATCAATCAGTATTTAATCATGTAAACCCCTAATGATTGTAGATTTTGCATGATAATAAAAACAAATATTTTCATCATATTAAAGAATTATTTAAAAAAAAAAAATGGCTATCGGCCATTGCTGGTGTTGGGTTACTGCTACATGTATAAGAATATAAAGAGAGCTAAGTGCTCTACACTGTAATGTAACCTGTCAATGTATTGTAATTCTAAGCTGTGCTGCTTCCCAGGAGACCCAATATGTATAGGCCTTTACTGCCATGTGTTCAGTCACTTTAGGTGGGGAGTAAATGCAAATGGCACACACTACATGCAACAAAACACAAGTTTTACTCCACACAGCGGGGCCCCGCTTTCCGGAAAGTTTCTATTACAGTCTGATCTACTTTTGGTGAAAATAATGACAAACAGTAGTGATTAATTAAAACAATTTTGTATTTAGTAGCAGTATTAAAATACATTATACTACAGCTTATAATGAACTAGATTAGTATATGTAATTATTTTCTTCATTTTTCTCGTTTTCCGCACTTTTAATTCTAAGTGTCAATGAAATGACTTCTGTCTGTCAGTGTGTCTGTCTGTGTGCATACAAACTTCATTTTTAACATGTGGGTACACTTTTCAGGTGGTCTGGTTTGTGAAAACCATTGATTTGGAAAACTGTAAAACATTATGCCAAAACTACTTGGTTTCCACTGTTCATTTATATGGAAATATTTTTTGGGAACTTGGTTTGTCCTGAACTCAAAATAGTTTGTTTTTACTTCTGTCTTATGTGGAGTGCTCGTGTGGCTCTGGGTAACAATCTCGTCAATCCCATTACATGTAAAAGACTGATGCAGAAATTGTATCCATTTGGATGGTAACAAATAGATCAAATATAAATGTCCCTGATTGTTCATTTCTCTTGGGATCGTCAGTGTAGGAATGAACGGAATGAGTGGTAGTCCGGTGAAGAGAGGTTTGTTTTCGTTCTTTTGTCACCGAGGCTACCACCTGCGATGGTTCATCATCGCGTGCCCTAAAGTTACAGGTTTTATTGTTCTGGGTAGCCAACCATAAAATGAACTGAATGGACGGTTGTTACCACGGAAGATGGACCGCTGTCACTTCATAGTGTTCGTTGATTTACAGGTGACTTTGAAAGTACACGCTGTTGTTTTTTTGTGACTTGAACAGTCACAGTCTGTGATTTGTGTTCCTATCAAAGGTGCTACATCAGTAACATATTGTACACTCTACATCGGGGGAGGGAAGAAGTCTCCCTAAAAGAACAACTAGACAGTGATGGGATGTTTGCACTATGTACGCCTGTTGAAATTTAGGCCTTACACCACTAATCTGCAGGCAAAAAATAGATTTTATCGAAATGTGTGACCAAGACCAGAACGGTAAATAAGCGTATATTTCTGCTAGTACTGTTCGATCCAGACATGTCTATGATGTGTCAATATTACCTTACACAGGGATACTTATTATCTTTTTTTGAGAATGTCTCTCCCACTCTAAGTGCATATTATACCACATGTTCTCGCCTTCATTACATGTTTGTAGGTGAATTATTTATGTAGTAAAACACCTTGAATAATTTATTTGTCTTTCCAATCAGTCTCTTCTTTCAATTAGTAATTAATGCCATAAAACGAAACGAAAGCTCATATTGTTTTCAAAGGTTACGAGGTATTTTTTGTCTCCATCTTGCAGAGAATTGAGAATATAAAGTTCATTTTTTACTGCGTTTGGTGAAAAAATTGTTTCATGTATCAGCTCTGTGAAAGACTGTATAAATTGTGCACGCATATTACGTATTTTGTAATACTGTAAAAAAACTTAAAAATAAATTTTTACTAAAAAGATTATTTTGGGTGTTTTGCATGACATTTATATTCACTGAATTTTGATGAGTGGAATGTAAAACATAGAAAAAAAATAATTTCATTTTATTTTCACTGAACCGTACCTTCATATGTTTAATAACGAAACTAAAATACAGGAGAAAATAAATTACTCTTCAGTATTTTAATGTTTGCTTGTATGTAATACATATACAGTAGTAGAGTATTGTCATTTGTAACCATGGTATCAAATACTTTATTATTCAATACTTAATTATTTTTTTTAATTAAATGTTCTGCATATCAATTATTTAATATATTTTGAAAGAGATTATAAAATGCTGTGCTACCAAATTAATTATGCATTGACCAAAAATACTTTGTTTTTGCTTGTTAACGGGTTAACCATTCAACACAGCAACAAGAGGAATGTAGATCTGAATCCCTATTACTTGTTTACATAGGCGGGTATGTAACTTTATTGCGTCTACAATGGTCACTTGATTGTCTAGGAAAGTGTCTGGGGATGTTGCAAAGTCCCTTGGTATTATCATATAAATTGCCTACCAGGTGTGGGAGTTAGGTGTATGTAAATATCTTGCGTTCGCTGTAATATTAGTTTTGACATACTATAAAATCCAGCGAAAAAACCTTTTTTTTCCTATATTTTACATTCAACTTGTCAAAATTTCGTGAAAATAAATTCCATGCAAAACACCCAACGAAAGTCTTTTCAATGAAAATTAATTCCAGCTAAAATATTTTACTTTTTTGTCTCTTGGCATTATCTTTTCCAGTTTTTCAGTTTTGCATACCAAGAGATGTAGTAGAAAAAAAACCCCAACAAAACTAAATCTGCAGGCCTGGTTTTATGTATGTTAATCTTCTAATTTGGGTTTTTCAATTTATTCACCGCAAGTTAGTTCAATGTACATGTACATGCATTCAATTGGCTATCTTCCATAAAAACATGTTCAATATTGAATAAAACC